AAATCCAAAAGTAGCTTCAAGGCAGTCGGATTTCTTTAGGTTTAAGGTTTAGTGTTTTTATCTTATCTTTTGCCAGATAGCCCAGTCTTTATCATACTCGTCACTCTACAACACATTTCCGCACTAACACTAACTCACCTTCTTCAGAGGTTTTGTCTTCCGATGTACAGAAAAATTATATAAACATAGTTCACATTTTGTCTTTACACATCGCTTCAGCCAGTCCATGAGACACGATTGATGCACGTATTTGACTGTTCCAGTGCATAGACATGGACTCATAAGCACCTCCGTTTCATCTCCACAATGACAGATCCTGCATGTGTCTCCTTCCAAATCAATAATGTCTCGTTCTTCGTAAACCTGTGTGTTTTCTACATGATCTGATAAATCAATTACACTGTGGCTTKTACTATCCTTATCGTTATCTGTAGATGTATTGTCTTTGTTATCACCGGTATTCCGAATATCTAAACATGAAGTTTGAGGCTTTAGTAAAGCTGGACTGCTTTGTAAATCTGCCAAGTCCAATTCCAATATTTCTTCTCCACTTTTACGACAGTTTTCATCATCAAGTTCATCTTTAGTTTTTGATATTCTATTTTCATTGTTGTTTTGTGATGTTATTTCTAGGTACGAAGGTTCCTTAACACTAGGAACGCACTCTGTGAACGGCCKTTCGTCGTTGTTGCTACTGTTATTTGTCCTCTCGTTTGAGTACAAATCTTTGTCCAAATCATTCTGTGTTAGACCAGTACCTTTAGCGAGATAATTTGCCGCTATTTCGTCTACTAGAGGCTTACATTCGCTGTCAGAATCGTTATTAGTTGTGAGTTTTCCATCTTCTGCGTAAACTTTCTTGCTTTCTTGCTYCTTTTCCATAACAGCATCACACTCCGTGTTGTCGTCTTCACTAGCCATCAGCCCTTGTAATTCCAAGACTGTCGAACCAGATTGCCTTCTCGAGTAACCTAAGTACCAAGACAGAATTAGCACACCTCACGAATGTTCATATCAAATAAATATCTCTCTAATCTAGAACAGCAAAGATAGACACTAACCCGAATATTATTTATCTCATTCTAAACAAGCTACGTATAGACAGTCAAGCGTATCATTCAGTGATCTAATACACGACTAATATCAAGACAATTTGATCTATCAGAGCCTTAGTCTTTGTCATTTTTTATCTGTAATTTCGCTTGTGTTTTGCGGCCAGTAAATGAAGCGAAACCAATTTTGAACAACCTTATCAGGCGTTCTGTTTGATCAGTACGATCATTACTCTACAAACATTTGTTTAGGACACGTGCGGTGTAATTTGGCCTCTTTCCAGACGAAAGATGTGACGTTCATATGATCTGTTTCGTTATCTGCTGTAAAACAATTTCCCCATATCAAAACAAATTCTACAAAATTATCGAAATAATATTCAATTTTTGAAAAAAAAAATATAAAAAATTGTTTMATCAAATTTCCTTGATTTGGAGTTAAAACGGCTTCAACATTTGAAAAAAAGTTCTGTCCAAGTGTCAGTGTTAGGCTTTGAATTTGAATTTGAACTTATTATTATTGCAGCCAGTATGTTGACCTTTAAGAAATCAATACCTATAATTATGTAATGACGATATGTTATGTTGAAACGGCCATCTCTCTGTAGCAACGGCAAAAGGCCATCATATACGGATAGACTCACTTTAGATTTACTTGCATTACATTAGAAAGTCCCTTACGAGTTATTAGAGGTTAAAACTTTTTTCTAAGCATCGCTTCAAAAGATGACACTCTAATGCCAAATAATCTCTCCCAAGATTAGCAAAAGTAACAACACAAGAAAATTCTTATCTGTGATAAATTTCGTAAGTTAAGAAGCCCAGGTTGTTTTGAAATTAGAATAGAAATATGCCATTCCCACCTGAGACGTTTTCAGCTGTTTCTTTTTGGSGATTGTATAAAGCACTGAAGTGTTCAAACAGTCCAGAGAAACGCGTCTGCCCAGAGGCGTCGGGGGAAATGGYGGGAACTCAAAACCACGGAATAAAATTTGAAACCTTATAGATTTTCGGTACTTCTCTTTCTCATCTTTGAGTTGTACGACATTATCAAAAATCAATACTTAATGAAGATACGACTATAACTATGGTCTTGCTCTCAAATTATTAGTCCATTGCGCGTTTGGTCACAACYGAAAGAAAAATGGCGGGAACGGAATATCACGAAACTTTTCGTTTTTCGTTTCGATAAGTGTTTACGTGTATCTTAGCAACGTCTGCGCTACGTTTTGACTATTTTTAGTTTTATTATACTCAATATTGTCTTTCATAGTTTTATTGTATAAAGTTTCGCAGGAGATAAAACTATAAGATTAAAAAAGACGTAAATAAGGAAAATAATTTATGAAATGCATGACGCCATTTTCAGTCTTTGTKTTCGTTGCTGTCGTTTTTGTTCATGAGTTTTTAAAGTGTTTACTTGACAAAGTTAAGTAGAAAATGAAAAGTGGCGAGTTTCTTTCCCTTCGTGAGGCTGAGCTAAACGAAAAAAGGAGAAGGACCTTTCCAATACAAGCAGAACTGACAAAAGGCGTTTTCCTACATGAGTCGGTTCATCTTCTCATATTTTTGATTTCATGCAAAATTTAGATTAAAAACGGCTTCTTCACGAGCTAGTCTCTTTAGTGTCGTTTAGTACTCTGCGAACGGCCAAGCAAAATTCAATTTTTTTCTTTGAAAATTTCGAAGCATTACTATATTGAGTCTACGTGTAGTTAGGCAATTTTGTTTTCCTTTTAAAAGTTGTCAAACAGAACGCTAAATAGTATGGGTTAACTTCGATATCTTGATTATCCTGGCGTCTTTCTTACCTTAAATTAACTACTTTGATTTAACCGAGTAATATCAGAATACGAAGACTTGCGTCCATGTAAAAGCGACAGAATTTCTTTCCTTTAGCATTGCAAACTGAAAGTAGATGACTTTCCATCTTCTCCTTTATTCATATTCAAAAATACTTGGATATTTACTTTCAGTTCTTTCAGCTAGCGAACCCACTAACCCCTCCCAAAAATTCGCAAAATTGTCTGAATAATATATAATTTCATTCCATCTTGTTTCAATAAACAATGCAAAATATAACTATTATAGCTATTTGTCTACATTAAAAATCCTGCTTGATAAAAATACCYAAACATTTTTCCAGTACATGAAAATCAAGGCTCTCGTTGGCAACTGTATRCGACGAACTCCATAGTTATTGTAGCTTCTAAGGCTGCGGTTTATTTAGAAGCCGAAAGCTATAGTTATTAAAGGGAACATCTAGCAAGAAATATAATTATATATATTCCGGGAAATGCTAATTAAAATGAAAACTTAAAAAAGATTTTAAAAACTACATCAACAAATAAAAGACAAACAAGAAACCAATTATCGAGCTAAAAATAATTCCCAATTTAATTTGTTCGCGCARAACTAAACAGGAAAGTATCACGCTAAAGTGTCGGACGAATTGTTCTCTGCTAACAGAGTCTCCCTCGTTTGTCAATTCTTGGCAGAGAAAATGGGAGACTCTGCTAGAAGGGAACGATTYCCATTTTCTCTTCCAATATAATCGCCAACGACGGAGACTCTGAGACTCTGCTAGCAGGGAAGACGAATCGAGTCGACTTACCAAAACGGCTGATTTTCCCCGCTTGCCATTTATAATTTTCCCCCATTTGCTTGAGACGAAAATCTTCCATGAGGTCTTAATTACGACTATTGTTGTGGTAGATGGACCCTAGATATTTGTCCAGGGCGAGATTTGATACATAGATTATTTAATACAAAGTACCACCAGTTATAATGCTAATACTTTAAAAAATACAGGTTAAATGTTCCAGCGRAGTTTTGGTTTATGACCAAAATTAACAGGTACCAAAACAATTCAAATGTAAATCGTTAACGTGAAAGACCTAAATACGATCTTAGATTTCGGTTTGGCAAACACATTACTGACTTTTCCTCAAACCTCGGAGAATATGAATTTTTCTCAGCTATAAATTCTTTTTTAAGATTTTTTGAATTTTTGATTTATTCTGAAATAAGACATCATGTGTCATCTTTGTCAAATGCTGCTGGTGTCTTTTCTGCAACAAATTAACGTTGAAGAATTCATCGCTTGTTTAATGCAGGGTGCCACTTTTTTCTGGGTGGATCCTGAATGAGGTCAAAACTCGACCCGTTTCTTATAGGAAAAAAAAAAGTTATTAGTACACGAAAGCATAAAAATAAAATCGAAAGGCTTTAGTATCTAACTTGCATAGGTGACTCATAAGATTACACCACTTTCCTTTTTCAGAAATGATAAAATCACTTAGGAAACCTCTATCATTTTACAAAGTCATAGAAAATATCAACTTGCTCGTCTATCCTTACGTTTTGCACTTTTTTCTTCGCCAAGAAATACTAATTTTCCATCGTCAGTATTTACAGTAAAAAGTTACCAGCTACCAGCTTTTTTTTGGCAAAAAATAATTGCATGCKAAAAAAGTATTTGCACCATCCATTTACTACGATTTTTCAGAATTATCACTAAGCTATTTCTAAAAATATGTGATAATGGGTTTGTTCAATTAAAGATCTATTTAGTTTCGGTATAAAACTAACATTATTGTTTTAAATGAATTTCCTCAAGAGGGGCCAATATATTTAAAAAGATAACTTGCAACACTAGCCAAAACAAAGCTGGGGAAAAAAAAGGCAAAAAAAATCATCAATGAAAAATTTCTGATTTTCTTAAAATCGACTCCTGAATAAAACGACATTGTTTAGATAAAATCAAAAAAATTACTGTACTTTAAATCATTCCTTATTTTTCTTTGATACGAAAAAAAATTGCAAATAATATATCACTAATTTCATTAGTGGGTATTTTACTTTTTTTTTGTTTTGCCGTAAACTGTGAGTCCTCAAAAAAATGAATTGAAAGAAGGCTAACTCTAGTTCCGGTTTACTCCTGTGAGTTCAGAGGCTTTTGTTCAACATTTTAGCTCTTACGAAGGTACTTTTTAGTCAATGTTTGATATACCTCTGTTATTTCGATCATAACGTTTTTAAAAATCTAACAATTTACTTATTTTTCGCCATCAGATGACATTGTTTTTCCTGTTTTGGTTCATCAAGTAAAAAATATGTAATAAATTCCTTGAATTCATAGCGGAAATCTGGTGGTAAAATTAACTTGGAGGAATTGAAGAAAATCTGTAAAGGTCAAACGCCTTGCAGAGCAAACTTGCTGACCAATGGTTCATCAATTTAAAAATAATAAACTCACTTTTATCTTCAGTTGAATAACTCGTGCGAAAGACCAATTGATATGAAAAGACCATTTACTGTGGTCGAGAATAACTAAGTTGATAAATTCAATCTATACAATCTCTACCACGAATTATATTAATTATATATCTTGTAACCTGAACTTTAAAACATATGTTGCATTGAATAGCCTGGATTTGAAAGTTCGAAGCCTCTTAATATCAAGAATATCGGGAACTCAAGGAATAGATAGTAGTCTGTGTATAGTAAAGTATCTCAGATATCAGTACATAAGTGATATAATGGTTCCCACGCGCTTAGTTAATTCTAAATCAAAGTTCCAAAAGTCTCACTGAAGGCCTCATACTTACCTCTAAAATCGTGAAAAATCTAACTTCTTCGAAGCCTGAGACGAAAAGCTATGGAGTGGAGATCGCTTAACTTAGCTTCGTAAAATTTGACTGATTTCTTAAAATATCCACGCTTTCCGAGGTCAAGGGAAATGAAAATATTTTTGGAATACTTTCCCACGTTTTGTCAACGTTCATTTCCTGACAAACCTTGATAAACCGCAGACTAGTGTAGAAATAGCTCGCAATGCTTACCTTGGTTGGAAAGATTTTGTGTTCAAAGGCTTTTGCTTGTCTGTGCAGTCAGTGAAGAGAGTCTACCCCACGGACGAAAGATGTGGTTTTGGCTGTACTCAAGACAAGACTGTAAAATACTACATACACATGCATGCCTACACTTGCCCTAGGCAGAGTCTTTTAAGGTGTTAAAAAAAGCTAAAAGCGTTAGGCACCAAAAGTTACGTAATACTACTTCGACGACACCACAGTTTGAACGCCTCTTGCTAATGTGGTCGTTGCTAGAGGTTTTTAAAGATCTTAAAATTTTAATTTATCAARCAGAGTGCCCCTATGCGGGTGGCAATCAATGTCTGTTGTTCATCCGTTTCAGCCATCGATTATGCTAATTGAGATCTTAACAAAGCAGCCCAGCTGTCATTGTCGTATTATCTTTAATTCATCGACTGAAAGACAAAGAAAATAGCGGGCGTAGTGTTCCTGCAGACTCGCTCTACTTTTTGTTTGGCTTTGTTGTTTGGTCTTTGAGTATTTACGACAAGAAAACAATCACTGTGAGTAAGGACACACGAACAATCTCGAGTTTATTTTTCGCACATAACTACACGTAGAAATTATGGAATTCTTCATCCTCTCAATAGAGGGGAAAGCTTTATAACTTCATAAATGAGTGAGTGAAAAACACTTCTAAAAGAGCGGTGGTTTGACTCAAGTACGGTAATCATACGATAAGTCGAACACGTGGACTCGACCAATCAGCGCGCTCCGTTAAAATCACAAAGACTTGCTATGTTTGTTGTCAGCATAAACTTTCTTATAAATGTGTTCGGCTTTCTACTTTGCTCTATCCCTAGATTGCATCGTTATTATAAGAGAAAACATAGAATTTACTTAGTTTGTATATCTTATTCTCGACTWCCAAGTTGCGAGTAGTTTTAGAAATGTCGTGTTTAACAGGCTCACTTTTGGCGGGAAATTAAGGTCGTTGGAGCAGAACTTCGTTTTTTAATTCTTTAGGGACATTCACATGGGAACACTTTTAGTGTATCTGATCCCTTTAATATACTAAACTCATCCAAAACCACAAGTCTACTCACCTATACATAAGCATATATCCTTACAACAACTGCAAACGCGTTGACGAAACTTCTACATTCCGACTTGTTTTATTTTAGGAAATGTGTGTTCAAGTGAAGTTGACATTTAGTCTGGGATTGATGTAAATTGTTGGGGCGCACGAAGCCTCTAATGTATCGTAGTACATTTGAGCCTGTGGTTCAGCGGTTTTCGTTGATAGGTAACGAAAACGAGGCTGAAGTTGACAAGGAAGTTCACTTACATTGTGCAGTCTGTCTTCCTGACCTAATATTTCATCATAGAATTGTTTAGAATATAATCATAAGAATCGATAGATATAATTTAAAAATAGATACCTGAATTGTTGGGTTCATTCCGATTATTGGCCCTATAAAATAACACGAAATGAAACTGGTGAAGTTAAGATAAAAATAACTACAGAAGAAAATGAGAAGAGTAAAGAAGTGAAGAAAGAAAAGGGAAGAAAAGAAAAGATAAGAAGAAAAAGAAAAGTGAAGAGGAGAGAGAGAAAAAGATGAAAATAGAATGGAATAGGATGATATAAAATGGGAAAACGGAATAAACAAAATAGAAAAGAATGAAATAGAATAAATGGTTATCGAATGGACATGAACTGTTTGAAAGTTGAATGGAAAGACATGAAATAGAATAGAATAGAATAACACTGAAACAAAATGAAAGTTAGTCTACTACACAGCCGTTATTACTTTTGTCACGCAATGCTCCTTCTCCTTCAGTGCAGTTTGCTTTGCGCAAGGGCACTTAGWCTCCCCCACAGCCGCTTTTAGTGTCGTCACGCAACGCTTTCTCCCTACTCAGAGGAGAAAGCGTTGCGTGACGACACTGAAAGCGGCTGTGGGGGAGACTAAAGGGCACTCGGACATTAAAGGTGGTTGGATTTCTATATAGTTTTTTTTTTTCCTTTCCATTATTTGAATTAAATTAACGTTATACTTGTTTACTTATCTTGTGTCCGTGTTCCTTCGTTCGCTGTTATAATGCAGACGTTTCCTTCCAAAGGTCAAACGGTTTAAATAGCTGATGAGCGTTACTTCTTTAACGGCCTTTCCGTACTTGACTCTGTTTGTACCAACAACAACGCGACCGCGTGATGCTCCTTACGTCAGTAATACTCAACCGTCCTAGAGTTGATATTGTTAATCAAATTCACCTTAAGTTCCATATAGAGCTGGGATTTAAAGTGAATTTGATTAACCATATTGACTCTAGGACGCGGTCGCGGTCATCACGCGGTCATCACGCGGTCATCACGCGGTCATCACGCGGTCGCGTTGTCGTTGGTACGGAAAGTACGGAAAGGCCGTTAAAGAAGTAACGCTCATCGGCCGGCTATTCAAACCGTTTGACCTTTGGAAGAAAACGGCTGCATCTTAACAGCGAAGGAACACGGAAAGATAAGTAAACAAGTATAAGGTTAATGTAATTAAAATAATGGAAAGGAAAAAAATTTTTTTCAAAAATCCAACCACGTTTGGTGTCCTAGTGCCCTTGCTTTGCGTGACGACACTAATAGCGGCTGCGTACRAGACTAAACGAAAGTGAAAAAGACTCGTTTTAACCTGGTTCCCAGGGCCCACTCTCCTCCTCTTGACAGGAGAGTAGACATTGGGAACGAGGATGGACAACCACTAATAAATTCATTTAAATAATTCTTTTTCAAAAAATATTTAATAATATTTTTATGAACATATACTGCTCCAGTCCTCAAATTTATTTATTTATTTATGCTAGATTTTGAGTGTTTTGAAGAAGTGCTTACCTCATGAGTTTTCGCCTTGACTTTGAAGTAAACTTCAGTTGTACACGATTGAATTATAGAATAATTCCTGAACGACGTTTTCTTCGAGATGTTGTTCCTGAAGACACCATCTATCTAACCAATTCGTTACTCTACCATGAAAAGAATAAAATCATTTATAGCGACTTCTGATATGATAATTTCACTAGGAACTATATATTTCAAAATCGATRAACACCGTCCCACACTGAGTATTTAATTCCTTGGAAATACCAGCCTTTTATACCATAAGCTTATACTTAAAATATTCCCAAACCTTTGAGTATCTGGACCTCGTAAATGTCTAATGCCACGAAGATGTACTCGTACACAGAAAATTTACCTAGATATTTATAACAATTACGATAATCAGTATTCTGGTGAATCGTGCTCAAATTTCATCAAGGTTATTTCCCTGCTGCTCAAGCTTGTCACTAGCCAACCAATCATCGACCTCCGTGGTCCATGATGCAAGTCACGCCTGAGGGAGCAGATATGTTGTTGGGCTAAAACTCCTGATATTCCGTCTATAAGATGGATGTTTTCGAAACATAATATCGTCATTTAGAGAAGCTTTTATCAAGGTGCTATTTCATTACCCATTAAGGCCTATATTTTGATTTATATACGAGTTTTTGACTGCAATTTTTATCGCTGTTATTCAGGCAGATTAAGTCGATAGTTACCTATGACGTCATGGTTCGAATAAACTCACACGTTTGTCCAATARTTGACTGTAAAATTTCTATATTGCAAAGAAAATATACGTATAATTTTAGAAAAATAAAAAATTTTCGCGAAGATTTACATATTTAATTATTTATGATCACGACAAGCTGCATGTCTAATGGTTGCTAAGGAACGAGAATGACGTCATGGATATAATGAAAACATTCTAATAGGTTTCGTAGAAGTGGTTAAACGCTTCCGCTTTCTATGCTAATCAAAAGAGCCGTAATGTAAGGCTAAAAATAAAAAATGCGACAGGATGCCTTTCGAAATTCTACTTCCATTTTATTCTTTACTTCATGATTTTTTATTTAGTTCTTCCTTCCTTCGCGATCATTCTTCTCTCTCTCTTTCTTTTTTTTTTTCCTTTTTTCTTTCTATTTATCATTATTCTTCCCATCGATAATTTAAACACAAAACTAGTGTACGTCCTGTTCTTCATAGTGATGACTTCCCTGATGAAGTATTCACGATCATAAAGTCGAACGTTTCTTTTTTGATTTGCCAGCGATTATTTTTTTAAGTCCATGTTGAATCTGCATTGTACTTTGTTTTACTGCTGAGTGACAATTCGCGGACTCAGGTGTCAACAGACCGCCTGCGATCGGCTGCGATCATATGTGAACGATCGATTTGAGATCCACGGTTGAGTGGATTCTGCGATCGAGCGATCGTCTGCGATCATATGTGAACCAGGCTTAAACCAATGCTTACCTAAAACTATGCCGGAAGTTTAAGGTATAAGATCAAAACAATTCAGGTCAATTTTATGAATTCATATCGAAAAATCCCATAGAAATGTACGATAATTCTAATGATAAAGCTCCTGTTCTTGTATCGTGGCCCGCCACTTGAAGTTTCTTAAATATGGATGAGCGCGCAACCTTTAGAAAACGGTCTATTACCATCTTACGGAAACCCAATTTTGAGGAGGGAGGGGTGGGGAAGGCCGGTGCCCATCACCTCCGCGGGGACTGAAATCTTCGATTTCGTTCTCAAATATCTCCAAATCTAAAAGTCAAATCGAAAAAATGAATAAACTATCCTTCTGCGTGAATCCTAAACAACACACTTCAGCAGAATGTATACTACGAACACTAAAGGCCGGTTTAGACGGTACGATTTTCGCCTACAACTATCGTATACAACACGCTCGCGCCATCCTACAACTCGAGTCGTAGCGTGTAAATCAAGCCTACAACTCGCCTACGACAGACGCGAGCGTGTTGTATACGATAGTTGTAGGCGAAAATCGTACCGTCTAAACCGGCCTTAAGAAAATCGAGCATTTCAACAGGTCTCTGAGCCGGGGGAGGGTTTTTTTTACCTGCACCCTCCACCTAAATTAATAAAATCAGAACCCTATTTTGGACAAATAGGTAAAAACAATGGCAAAACTATATATAATTGGTTTTCGCGCGGTATGCTAATAAGGATCACCCTATTTACTCTAGCTTTTCGTTTCACTTTAATAACAGGTGGAATGAATGACAAACTACGACAGCCCCTACCGGTCTGAATATTCAACTAGTAAAACACATAATGAATATCTGAAGTCTAGATAGGGCTATAATTACAGTACGACCGACTTCAATTAAAGCTACGCACTGGGTTGGACGGTGTCTATCCTGGCTTACCACGAAGACAAAACATTTCAAGGTAACATTTGTTATTCTCGTGTATCGGCAACAGGTGGGCCAGGATTGAATTTATGGATATATTTATGTGAATGAAAAACGCGAAAGTTAATTTTACTGTTTTACTCAGTCTAACTATTCCTTTCTGCTGTCAATAGACATCAATTTTGAAAACATTTATAGCTGTTAAACTTATAAATATGTACACGTTTTGTTTCTAAGCTCGTACGAGTGGGTTAGCGTTTTCAATTAGCTTAATGCCAATATTCACGAAAACGCGATTCATTTTTCCTTTTCTCCAGTTCTCCGCTTTCTGTGCTTTATTGAATAAAAAAGCCATAAAATTCAACTTATATGAACTTTTTATCCTTTTTCTATACTATGTAAGGAGAATATATTTCGAATTAAGTAAGTCGATCATGAACAGGAGCGTGTAGTTTGGACTATTATATCGATATTCGTGTTTATCTTTACAGGGTTTATATTAAGGGTAGGGGAKCGGAGATAATGTTCCTTTAAAAATGAGCAAAATTCTCCGGCTTTAACTACCATGATTTCTATTATTTCAAAACTTCTCCGGCTATTTCATGCATTATATTCTCCTATTATTTCAAAACCGTTAATGAAAACCCTGCCATGACGCTCTCTGGCTAGTTCATGATGCCAAGACTCTCTGGCTAGTTAATGATCTTCTCCTATCATTTCAAAACTTAATGAAAACCCTGCCAGTACTCTCTAACTAGTTCATTATCTTCTCCTATCATTTCAAAACTTAATGAAAACCCTGCCAGGACACTCCGGCTGGTTCATGATGCCAAGACACTCTTGCTAGTTAATGATATTCTCCTATCATTTCAAAACTTGATGAAAACCCTGCCAGTACTCTCTAACTAGTTCATTAGTCTTCTCCTATCATTACAAAACTTAATGAAAACCCTACCAGTACTCTCTAACTAGTTCATTAGTCTTCTCCTATCATTTCAAAACTCAATGAAAACCCTGCCAGTACTCTCTAACTAGTTCATGATCTTCTCATATCATTTCAAAGCTTAATGAAAACCCTGCCAGGACACTCCGGCTGGTTCATGATGCCAAGATTCTCTAACTAGTTCATTATCTTCTCCTATTATTTCAAAACTTAATGAAAACCCTGCCAGGACACTCCGGCTGGTTCGTGATGCCAAGACTCTCCGGCTAGTTTATGATCTTCTGCTGTTATTTCAAAACTTAATGAAAACCCTGCCAGGACACTCCGGCTGGTTCATGATGCCAGTACTCTCTGACTAGTTCATTATCTTCTCCTAAATTCAAAACTTAATGAAAACCCTGCCAGGACGCTCCGGCTAGTTCATGATCTTCTATTGATTCCAAAACTTCATAAAAGCTCTGTCTTCACAAAACTGCAATCGTCGTATTCGTCTCCGTGCTGTCGAACTGTCAATTGCCTATCCTCTAGAATCATACTATACGCAAAAATGCCTTCTTAATACTGAAACAAGAAATGTTTGGACCGACAAATTTCATCCTAGAGAAACAGCATTGTATTTTAAGTATTCTTAAAAAAATATAATTCCACGAACGAAATTCATTACCCATTTCTACTTTTTTCCCCAATTGTTTGGTATACTTTTGACCATCTGTTTCGTGCCGWATCAGTAAAAGAAAGGAAAATTAAATGGTCCTACTGAGTGAGCGATACCTACAGGTCCCAATCATTCATCGTGTTGGCTAGTAACTTAGTAACTATGTTTTCCATAATTTTAATAAAAATGGTTGGAATGTTTGGTGCGGTGCGCTTCCTCTCGCATAGCTTCAAACCTCGGACTCTTCGTGACATGCGAGCGGAGGGGCATGTTGGTACTCTCTTGTGCTTCGAGGGTTTTTCCTCTGGCTATACTGGGCCCCCATGTATTCCTAATTATATATATATATATAGTATATTCCTTTTATATTCCTTTTATATTCCTATTGTATATAGATAGTATATTTAGCTGGGTCTCCCCGATTAGCAAAGCACGTGTGCCAAGCTAGAAGTCTTTTGAGACTGTAATAAAGTTTATTAATACAGTATTATTATTGTTCTCCGGTTTCCTTCCTCCCTTCGCAAAAACCCTAATTAAAAAAAAAAAAAAAAAAAAAAAAAAAAAAAAAA